CGCCTGCCGCGGCCCCGAAGTCTTCCTGCCGCCCCATATGCGCCTTCGCAAGCCCGCGGAGCATCTCGTCCCAGGTTGTGGGGCTCTGGGGAGGGGCGCGGCGGCACTGACCGCCCCCATGCCTGCTTCTGTGGGGGCGTCAGCCGAGGGCCCCCTTGCACTATTCGGAGTTGACCGGAAGGCCGTAGAGGCTGCTTTCTCCCCGCTGGCGCCGCTGTGCTTCGTTTCCCAGGGCCGGGGGGTGGGTGGGGGGCTTTGCCTGTCCCAGAGTTCCCCCGGTGCTGCCCTGGCCGCAGCTTCCCCTTCGGTGTGTCTGCTTCTTGCCCTCCCTCCTCTTCTCCCTCTGCTGCTCTGAACCCCCCACCCCCCTCGCAGTCGCGACTGGGTGGCTTTGGTTAATCCACGGAGGCTTCGCCCTAAAACCCTGGGGAGGCCTCTCTTGGTCTTGGTGCCATGGAAAGGCTAACCCTCTGGGAGGCCACTCGACTGTCCAGAGTCTCCTTGAGCTCTGCATCCTCTTTCCACTGGGAAGCTCCCATCTTTACAAAGCTCCTTCGCCCTCGGTCGCAGCGCTTTGCTAGTCCTCCTGCAAGGCAGCAAAGCAAAAGAGGCCGGAATGCCTGTGACTTCTTCGTATGCCGAGGGGGGAGTCCAGAATGAACTCTGCTTCTGAACATCCTGAAACATCCCGTTCTCCCCCCGCCCCCCACAGGGCTGGCCAGCGACTCCCTGGATGACTTCCTGATGGAGTTTGACCACGTGGTTCAGGACTTTGAGAAAAGGGTCTTTTCTCAATATGAGCCACACCTGGAGGAGTTGAGGAAGAAGGCCTTGTCCAGCACGTATGACAGCGGCATCGATGACTCAGAAAGTGAGCACCCACTCATTCCTCCCAGGGAGAAATGCGGGGGAGGGTGGAAGTCCTCTTGCTTCTGCTCCCCTCGGGTTTTGTGGTGGTGCTGCTGGGGTTGTGGAAACAGCCCAGTTCTGGTTTTTGCTCTTGGCAGCCTCCTTCCACAACCCTGGGGAAACTAATGTTGGCAGCACACAGTCCAGGCCCCGTTCACGAGTTGCCTCTCTCATTTTGCTGCTGAAGTCAGCACGACTGGAGAGGCACACAAGCTCAGTAAATGACTGAAGGCGTTTCTTTACTTCCCCGACTGAGCCAGGCAATGAGATCAGAGGCTCCCTGGCTGGGTGGGCAAAATGGTCCTGCTGATGAGCTGCTCCACCCCTTGGCCTCCCTCCCCAACCCATTTCCTCCGCGGTTGGCTGAAGACAGCACCCCTGGATGTGGGGCATGGAAGTCCTGCGAACTGAGGGAACGTTCCTCTTTGCTCTCCCCACAGGCAAGAGCGCCTCCCCCAGCAGCAGCCTGAACACCAGCGAGGAAGACCTCAGTGCTCTGGCAGCTCCCTTGGATGCCCCTTCCTCCACAGGTAAGGCCCGGGAGCCCAAGGGAGGGGATGCCGGCAAGGTGAGGGAGCTGCCTGGATGCCACAAGCTTGACCTGTGTTGGCATGTGCGGGCCAGGGATGATGATCTGGGGACTCTTTATTGTCCCCTGGCACTGCCATGCCCCCAAGGGGAGTCAAAACAGACCCCTCCCCAGGACCCACCTGACTCCCTGGAACAACTCCCTCGGCAGCCTGATCCTCCAATTCTGCCAGCCTGGGCGGGCCTTCACGACTAGGAGATGATAAACCCCACCATCACCGAAGGTTTCACTTGGCATTTTTTCAGTATGAAAAATGAGCTCCGATCATTCCAAACTGTAATCTGCTGTGACCTTTGGTTCACTCAAGATCTGTTAGGATGAAGAAACTGACAATTTCGTATCTCTTGACTCGTAGCCAAGCTTGGAGACACGCACGAGCTGGAAGAGTTCATTGCAGACTTGGATCGAATCCTGGAGGGTAGGTACTGAATGGGATCTGGCCCCTGGAGGAGGCCCAGAGGGTCAGGCTGCACCATGATTCCTTCTCTGCCGGTGTGGCTGCTGAGAGCCCCTTCTGGGCAGAGGTGCTGGTGCAGCTGGTGCAGCTGCGTTTGCACAGGATCCCTGGGCGCTGATGAGATGACCAGCCTAACCTGGCTCGTTCTCATTAAAGCTGCTGATCAAGGATCCTCCTGGGCCAGGCGCCAACCGTGCAAGAACCGGGGGCAGGGTCTGTCCCGTGCACACACAATTACTCCTGTTGTGCCAGGAAGGGTACCTGAGATTATAATTTGGGGGCGAAGTTCCGAAGTAGGAATCCTCTTGCCGGTGAGGCATTGCCAAGAGATACCATGTGTGCTTTTGTCAGTTAATGCCGAGTCCTATGACTGATGAAGAGTTGGGTGCATCTTGGCAGATGATAGGGCCTGCATATCAGTAGTATCTGTGTGTCTGACTGATACAGAGCAGGCCTGGGAAGGACAAAGGGAGAGGGTGTATAGGGTTTTTAGTTTCAGCCATATTATTCCTTGCAGAAATGTGACCTGCTTTCCTCCTGAGCTCTTCAAGATGAAAATCCAGACTAGATCATCCCCCGCCTGCCAGTGTCTCGCTGAATGGACCACCTGCCCTTTTCTCCTGGCGGAAGCCCCCCCGCACCAAAATTCCTGATGTATCAGCTCTGTCTCCTCCTGTTCCCCCCAAAGCCAACCTACTTTGCAACTGGCTTCTCTGCAGGGGAGAAGGAGCTGAGGGCATCGTGATCTTGTCCAAAATACTTCAAGTTCAGAAGTCAAAGCAGAAATCTAACTAGACTGGATCCCAGTGACATTCTGCCATTGGATTTATTTTTCAAATTATTCTCCTCAATTCCACCTTGAGGAGAAAGCATGGATTATTTTTCAGAATGTAGACTTTCTCCTGCACTGAGAAGGTGCACCTTTCTCTGAGCCCTTTGCTTCGGATCGCAGCAGGCTGCATGAAGGGGGGGGGCGAGCGGGAGGGAGCCTGCGATGTGCATTTCCCAAAAGAGGCTCCTTGGGAGCTGAAGCCAAACTACTGAAAGAGGAGGCTGTTCCAGGACCAGCTAAGCTGGGGGAGAAGCAGACTGGGTGGATGTCGCTCACCCCAAACACAGGGCAGGCGTGTGCACCAACCCTCTGGCCTGTGGGTTGGTGCCACAGGCTCTCTAGAGGGGCTGGAAACATGTCCGAGTATTGATGTGAATGGGAAGACCTGGTTGGGGGGAACCTCCATTCGTATGAACAGCAGCCCTTCTCTTTGCTGTGTTCTGAGTCCGCTCCCAGAATGCACTTGGCCTCCTGCTTCATTTCTTTCTGCGTGGAGCTCTTTACAGCCCTCTTAGCAGAGAAGCGGTGAGGAGCTGGCTTTCCCCCCAAGTGTTGGGATTGGATGGAGGTGGAGGAGAGTGCTGTGGGTTGCACTGGGGGAGTTGGGCTGTGCCAAGTTTGGGGTTTTATTGTTTCTTGGTTTTACTCTTTGTACGGCATTGTTTTATGTTACGGTTGGGAGCCGCCCAGAGTTCTAGTTTTAAGATGGATGGCCATATAAATATTTTAAATTAATAAATGTAAATAAAATGCTGTTGACTTTGTGTTGTTTGCTGTAGGGAAGTTCATAGCTGACCACCTCAGGCAATGAAATAAATGCTGCCAATAGAAATGAGAAACAAGCATGTATCTAAAGTTTTTAAGCTGCAGGAAAATTAAACCACGTGCAACTTTAAATGCGAATTGTAAGTGGATGGGAAACTGGCAGAGGGCTGATCTGCTGGCAACAGGTGCCCAAGAAACATGATGGCCAAGTCAGGGCAAGTCTGCAGGGCAGAATTGAAAGGGGGAATAAAAGGATGTCCTGTTCTTTGTCGTTAATGCTGCCTTCGGTTCCCTGCTCCAGAGACTTGCATGCACAGCTCCAGGAGCTTCGCTGGCTTGCTAGAGTGGGGCACCCGCTTCTGCAGCCACGGTGCCCTCCCCGCTGGTGCCAGGGCCGGGCCAGCTGCTGCTGCTGCTCAAACCGCTTCCCGCAGCAGCCTGGCCGGGCGCTCACGTGTCCCTCCCCGGGGCAGCCCCTCGCTCCCGGCGCCCAGAATAACTCTGGGGATGCTGCCTGATC